GGCGTTTTCAGATTTATCCACTCTGGGACCCGGTTTAAAAAAATATCGGTTTCACTCTCCCAAAACGCCGGATCCGTGTGGACGAAATGCCTATACGACACAAAATGTATGCGTATACAGCTAAACACGTCTCCGTGTGGACGGGGGTCTAATATCAAATATCACTCTCTTCTTCTTACTATGATATGTCCATAGAGCTTTTTATGTAACATAGTCTAACTGGACTGTATTAAACTGACTTTTATTTTTCTCCACAAGGCCTTGGGAAGGTCTTTGCAGTGGATTTCTGAGAGAAAATAAATAATAAATCATGCCTTATCACCAGGTGTACACAAACCTTAAATGACCAGTAGGGATGGGTACCGAAACTCGGTATTTAATCGGTACCGGGGCTAAATTATATCAGAGTATAAAGCAATGTTAATTCAGCTCTTAATTTGTCATATTATATATATATATATATATATATATATATATAAAACAAAAAGTACCGATAAGAATACCGTTAAAGTACCGAATCGATAAGCAGTATCGATAAGAGTAGTAATACCGTTAAAACCTTAACGATACCCATCCCTAATGACCAGTCCTTGATATGGTGATGAATGCTTGAAGTCAATATACCCCAATGAGCTGGATTATGAGGCAATAAAGAGCTCTCTTCAAATGGCGATGACAGTAATCTAATGAGTGACACGTTTTGATGTCAGACAGTCCCTGTCTTTTCCTTGACAAAGTCATCAGGCAGTTAAACCTCACGGGCACAGAGTGAGTTTTTCTCCTCTAGGCTTCGGTGAAAGATGAACCGGCGTCTAATTCATTTTCTCTTTGTTGTTTATCTAAAGGCAGGGCTGGATATATCATGACAGATTGTGACAGCGCCGTAAGGAGGAGGCTGTTAAGATGCCTGAAAGGTTCAAATGTAATTGCAGTTTTCTCCTTTTTGACACTCTCTCTTTCTGCAGGCTAAAATAAAAATGGAAAAATTAACCTGTGGGGTTCAAGGCTATTGGATTTGAGTTTCCCTGATATGAATCTTACACACAGATGTTGTGAACAGCAACTTTGAGTTGTCAGAGTTGGAATAACTGAGACCGAGGACAACAGTAACACTAAATATCTTTGATCAAAAACCAGGTAAGAGCAATGACACATGCTCAGTACAGTTCTCTGTCTGTCTGAGAACAACTGATTTGGAAGAATAAAAGCGATTCCTCCCTCCCCCCGGATATAAAGTATTTTTCTTCTTCTGTATAAAGTTATAATGATTTTGAAACTTTTAACTTTTGTTTATTTCATGTGTGGGTTGTTGGGTAAATGTTAGCATGAATGGCAGATGTTAACACTGTAGCTACCATACAAAAATTGTACGATGCAGTGAGGTTGGGGACAATATTAATAGTTATAATAACTATTATTATTATTATTATTATTATTATTATTCATCTTACAGCATTAACAGACTTATAATTTTTATGTTTAAAAAATTTAATTATATTAAATATAATAGAAAGCTTACATTTAAAAATATTTAAATTTAAAAATAAATAAATAAAATGAATACAAAAATAAAACTTTTCTTTATGTACAATACAATTTTAATGCCACAATAAAATATTAAAATGTAACATTTTAAAAATAAATATAAAAAAGTTTTGAAAATAATTTCAATACTCCTTTTTTACAATAAAATTGGAACATTACAAGATTAAAACATTAATATTTAGAGAATAATATCAAATTTACTAGCATAAAGTTTAAGCTTTTTTTCAGATTCATAATAGGGGTGTAAGATTTCTATTTCAAATTTCATAAATGAGCTGTATTACTACAACTTTAATTAAAAAAAAAAAAAAAAAACATGGCACTAACAAATTTGCTTTTAATGAACCAATTGCACACCCAGGGAAAAAAAAATAGTGAATGATAGATCCAGACAGAGTAAAGGATGACGCAACCTTTGTCCACCTCAGTGCTTTTCCTGTGTCCGCACTATGTAAGACACTGATAGATTTGCCAGTCCTTCCCATCCTCTTTAAAAAAGAAATAACCCATTTTAACCCGTCTCTCATGGCATTGATTGATAGGCTATGAGCGTCGGACTTAATAACCTCTATCATACTATCCAACCCCTCTGCTGGCAGCAGGCGCTAGTTTGTTTATGGGTGGCATCTCCTCCAATATGCCATGTGTGTGAAAGCTCTAACTGTGCTAATGGTGTGGGCTGAGGGATTGGACTGTCAGCTGGGAGTGAGGCCTCATTTTTCTACCTGCCTGCTGTCCACGTTTCCAACCCCACAGAACCACCCCTTTCCGCCTTACCCTCTGTACCCCGATCATCTGTCAGCCTGGACCTCAGCTCCCATGATGCAGCAAAAAAAGAGAGATGGCTTGTCAGCTCCGGTTGGCTGAGTGACAGTTCTACATGTTGGATCAGGGTGGATGGGGCTGGTTAATCTGGTGGTGTGGCCACATGGATTGTGTTTGTCTCGCTTGGTTAGCTTATTCACATTGAGGAAGAGAGCAAATGTTCCTTCAGCTTATTTGAGAATGTTTTAAAAACAAACGTTCATGACTGCCACGGTAGCATATGAAAGCTCAAGCATATGAAATTAATTTCCCTCCTAAATGAGCGTTTACTGTCTATTTTGGCCAAAAGAAACAAGAAAACATCAGGTTCGGGAAGTATTCTAGGTTATTAGCTCTTTGATCATGATATCCGAGCGCTCTTCTTGCTTTCAGAGTAAATGCTTTCTCTCTCTGTGATGATCTGAACAATTACACAGTGCAGAAGAGGCAGGTTGCAGATTATTTATTGAATCAAACATAATTGCATTCTTTCTGAAGTGCTGAGATCTCAAAGGCACTTTCTTGAGGCAGAATCTTGCGCATACACAAGTACATCATACACTACTGTTAAAAAGTTGTTGTTTTTTTATTGGATACTTTTATTCAGCAAGGATGCATTAAATTGATCAAAAGCGACAGTAAAGATATTTATAATGTTACAAAGAAAATCGTTCACACACACACACACACACACACACACCTATTTTAAATTTTGACTATAAGAAGAAATGTTACTTGAGGACCAAATCAGAAAATTAGAATGATTTCTGAAGGATCATGTGACACTGCAGACTAAAATAATGGCTGCTAAAGAGTCAGCTTTGAATCACAGCAATAAATTATATTTATATATATAATAATAATAATTATTATTATTATTAATTAATAAGTTAATACAGTAGGGGAGACCAAGGTAAAACATCTCTGTAATATGTGTTTCCTTCTGGAGCATCAATGAGTGTTTGAACTTTTTTGTAGCAGTGGCATGTAAGTCCCTCAGCTGTCATCAGTGAGAAAAGATGGATCTCAAAATCATACAGTCATTGTAGGAAAGGGTTCAAATATGCAGAAGTTGCTGGAAAACCAAATAATTTTGCAATTTAACTGTTCAGGACAAACAAGGGACTCAAACAAGGGAACAACTATTACAACAAAAAAAAAAAAAACAGCTGTGGATCATCCAGGTAACAACACGGTATTAAAAACCAAGCGTATGCAAGCATAACTTTTGAACGGGTCATTTTTATAAATTCAACTATTATTTTCTCTTGTGGACTATCTATCAAAAACTACCCACAAGCTTTTGAACGGTAGCATACACATACATCAGGCACATTATGCATATTTGCAGACTTCAACATACTTCTTTCTAAAAAACAAGAGACAATTTTGAAAATGAAAGGCTGGGAGAATTTAAATACATGAAAAGATTGTAGAGGTAATTTGCTCATCATCGGCTCGTTCATTTCTACATTATATGCACACATTGCCAGCATACATGTAAGTTGCTATCTAAACCGCACACATGCTTCTTCATGCACACGTTCAGAATCACTCATATACATACACTGAAAAGGTTTAGAGGATGAATAGACATTTTCCTTACCATAAATTCCTGTCGATATGCATGGAAAGGCCTGTAATAGAAAAAAAAGCAAAAAGTAAGCCAACTCTGAAATTAAATTAATATAAAATCACATAAATTCTGACCCAAACCTAATCAGGAAGAAGAAAACCACCTTAGAATCAGAAGTTAGTCATTGAAAGTACAGAGTTCAGAGGAGCAGGCAATGAAATGAGCCCAACTTTACAGTTTTCAGCCTTGGATTGTTGTTTCTTTCCAGTTCCTGCTAAGCTTGCAATTTGATAACATGCATGAATTTCCTTAAAGTCAACCCCTATGAAATTCTACTCTGTGAATGGTGTTTCAGAGAAATTTGACGTTTAGTGAACGTCGAATGTTTCATTAATAGCCAGTGGGAATAACTGCTAATGCAAGCTTACACCAATCATCAAATATATATTAAAAAGCCTAAAGACATGGGGCGTTGCTTTTTACTGAGCAGACGTGTTTGTTTTTGTGGATCTCCAGGCTATACAGAAACACTTTGGCTTCAAAGAAAAGGATAAAATGAGCGTTTCTTCCTGTTGGGGTAGACAGAGCGCTTGCATTTGGAGCAGTGCTTTGACGCGACGTGACACGCAGACATGACATCCACCTAAATCAGTTTGAGATAACACATATTGCCATATACAATAACAGTGATATCCCCACCTGTAGGCTTCGCCACCTGCTTTTGACACGCACCCAGTGAGAAAGATCCATTTCGATTTACTTCCCCTAGCGAGAGACTTCAAAAGCAACATTTTGCCTGTCGTCTGGTGTTGATCTAATTAATCTGACAGTTAATTAAGGCACAGTCATATTTCAGTATGTCAGGACACGTATAGTAGCTGGATGAGAGATGGCCTCTGGGAAAAGTATGTCAGCCTGTAGAAGACATCCAGAAAATGTGCACAATATTTCAATACTCCTGAAAATTATAAATGATCCACTCATGGCCTTTACAATATCCTGGATAATTCTGAAGGGTAAGTGGGGCCTTGGATTGGAGCCACTTGGAATCTGGGAAATGTTTGGATCTGTTAAGATGATGGAGCCCTGAACTGTCATAATTTCTGAGGAAAATCAGAACAACCCATTGTGGCAAGTGTTGCCAGTGCAGGTGAACATGATAATCCCAAAGTGTCTTTTTGCCTCATTTCAGTTGTGGATTTGGCACGAGTAAAAAGTGAATGAAAGATTTAAATATACATGAATTGGTAAAGACTCAATAGAAAAACACTAAAAAAACATTTAGAAATGTTTAATCTATTTTACTGTATGCAAGATCTACATATGCAAATACATGTGAAATGTAGGTTACTATGTGACCCGTGAGCAAAGATGAACTTAACCTCTTGTCTATTATTTTTTAAATTCTACAGAACACAAAATAAGACATTTTAAAAACAAGATTTAAAAACAAAACAAAACAAAAAAAACCTTGGGTCATGCTCCAAAAAGTAGTTTAAATGGTCTAAATTAATTAAAAGTTAATGAAAACTTTCTGAGAAATACTCACTAATCAAGAACAGGGCGAGAACCCCTGATTTAGGGTCAGTTCTAGAATATGAAATCTGAGACCCTTTATCTCTCTTGTGTACATTTCTGGTCCCATCACAAGCAAATCTATGTTAACATGACCATATTCTAGTCAAGATGTTACATGATGACGTCTCATTTGTTGCTCTGAGATTTTGACATTAGAGAAAATAAATTGTCCAAAGTGTAAAAATGTCCTTAATTACCTGCATTCCAAAAAACAAATAAAAATGTGAATGAAGTGATGTTTATTTAGGTCTCAGTATTCAATGATAAATTATATATAATTTTGTGAACAGGTGCGTGAGTGTTTTTCTACCATGGAACAAAAAAGACCAGCGCGACTGAGGGAGAAACAGAGCAACTCCGATATTTATGGCCATATTTTTTTAAAGATTAAAAACTTACCATACTGTAATAGGTCTGGCTCTGAGGCACTTTGCACCAGATGTATTACTCAAGAGCAGGTTTAGAGCTGCAACAACCATCATTTTTCCATACGACCGCGTTCCACGCACCCCGTAGCACATTCATCATTTTTAGTATATTAATAAACAGTAAAGAGAAGATATTTATTCAAAGCTCTCATTTGTCTCCACAAACCAGCTGAATCTGTGCTTTAGCATAGCATTTATCACAAAAAACAAAGTGTGACCACTGCGTTAATGCAGCATTATGACAAATGCAAATTTCGCTATCATTTCTGTTTGTTTGGATCTAGATTAGAACAGGAGTAACCATTCGACAATAAAGTGAGTGTTAAAAAGGTGTGAATGCCAGTGCGAGCGGCATTTGTTGACGTCGCCCTGACCGGGCCAGACGCTGTTTAATGACACTCTAAAAGCTGCTAATAAGGCTTTGTTTTAAAAATGTTTGAAGTGCTAAAAGTAGGTATTTTCCATATCAAATGAGCTTTTGTGCTGCGATGAGAGCTTTAGCACAAAGCAGACTGTAATTGCAATAATGCTTCGCTAACAGAACATTAGAGGAAAAACAACAACACAAAACAACGATGATATCATTTCAGGTGACAGCTGTACAAATCAAAGGCAGTTGAGCTTTGCAATGAGGAACAGATGAGACTCCTACTGAGCTGTGTACCTCTGATTATAAACCATAACTTACTGCAACAATAAAAATTATACGACCGTACGGCAGATGATGCGGCGTTATCCTGCATACGCGCTTGACCTGATACCAGATTGTACTTTCATATTTTCCCTGATGTTTTTGGTACTTTCTTTCTGGTTTTTCCCAGAGAGGAGGGGCTTTGTTTGGCTGGTTATTATTTTACAGGGTTGTGTCAAAGCACTGCTTGTCAAGATCAATATTTCAGCTGAGTCTTTCACTAAAGCTTTGACCTTTCCAGGTGTACATCCCGCTTGGGCTCAAATTCCCCATGATGAGCAGCGGAGGAGGGCCATTTTTAGAGCGCTGCTCAGCTCAACACAATGTAAGCACACTCGCCTGAGTCCCTGCGGGGTTCAATAAAGACCTGCTCAAAAAACATACACACAACGGCATGCTAGAACTGTCCAACATGCTGGAATGTCATTCTGGTGATACCAGGGCTACTTCATGTGAAATCAACATGAAAGCAACATTTAAACCATTTACTTTCTAAATTCATTCCTGGTCTTAATTCTTAATTATCTCAATAAAATCAAAACAGATGGATAAAATCCAGTCAGACACTACATTTTTCTCTTTAAATATTTAGTTTCACTCAGAAATATGGCACATTACAAAAGTAACATGTTGGGAAAGTTGCTTTACCTATGTGTACTAATGTTTACATTCACACCATTTTTTTTATTTGTGTGTTGATTTATTAATGTTAATAATAATAATGAAGAGCACCGATAAAATGCTAAAACTTTTATTATTATTGGTGTTGTTATCACAATTAGTTTTACAATTAATAATAAGAAGAAGAAGAAGAAAAAGAAAAAGAATGTTGGTATTATTATTATTATCATCAAGAACAATAACAACTACTAAGACTATACTAATAATAGTTTTTGAATGATATCTGTTACCCCTTATATAATATATAAAATATTGGATTGTAATGTATATAAATGTTGGAATTTATATTAAATATTTAATCTGCATTGGAATTTTCATCCCAAAGGCAAATGTCCTATCAGCAAAATCAATTATAAACAATTTTCAATTAAAAACATTCCAATAATTCCCAGTTTGGCCCTTAGCAACAGATAAAACACATTAGATGATACCCAGCATATTTGTCCTTTCACCCACTGTACTGGCTTAATAGAGCAAAAAGTATCATTAGAAAGTAACATGGAAGAACATGGATCTATTGGTTTTACATGGCCACACATTGACTGAATACTCAATAATGATCAATAATGATAATATTCTTGGATGTTCACTTTCTAAATCCCTTGCAATTATAGGTAAAGAGCAGAGAGACAGTCTCGCTATTGAGTTCTTTGAGCAAAAACACACAGCTGGTGTGTGTGACTAATCATTTCTAGCTGGTGGAGGTGATAACTGCTTCACAGTGCAGCAGGATACACAAAAACAGAAGCCCACAACTCACTAGTTGATTTAGCTTGGCACAGTTACGCCACTACAACCATGGCCAGCAACTCTTGTTTATATATATTACACCGGTGCATTTATATCAAACCACTGCCTTAATTAACAAGGCTTACATTATTACACCTTTGCAGTGACTTATGGTCCTGCGGCTGGATTATTATTTCTGATCTGTCAGTTCATTAGGACCGAATCAGGCTTACGGCCCACTTGCTTTTGCCTGCTTATTGTGTTTTGTGTTTATTTGCTTGCAGTAGCATGTTGAAATTGGTCACAAGGGAAACAATTCCACTGCAACCGCTCTTCTCTAATCAATCATTTCTTCTTGTGTTCTTCAGGTTGTTTATTAAGATTATTATTGTTATTTATAATAGACACACCTTTTTAGCTGGAACTCCCACTAGGTTTAAGAGCAGCTCTTACTTGAACATATTTCTGTGTGGGTCTGTGTTTACATGCGTCAACAGGCCAAATACAGTTTCTGCATTTCTGTGCTTGTTATGTCATGCTGCAGAGTGCTCTAGTGCCATTTATGTTATATGTTTATGTGGGTGATCAGAGTAGGGATTTTCAAAATTGAGTAGTTGGTGGGATGAATGAATGACAAGTCTATGTATAATCAGACTGCTTTAGGGGGATGCCTGACACAGATCAAACACTCTTCTTAGCCCTATATAAACACTAAGCACAACTTTCAATAGCATGATTGACAACTATTCAACACATAAATCAGCTAAAATAACAATAAACGTCAATTTTATAAAACAGACATCATAGATTCTGCATAAAACAGACACTGCTGACAGTCTAACAGTTACAGCTGCTAAATATATATATATATATAAAAATCAAAAGTTTATCAGTATCTGTTTACATTAGTTAATGCCCTGCAGTGTTGTTATCATTAATTATGATAATAATTATGA